CCGATCGGCTTGACAAGGTCGGGCCTGGCTAGTCTGCCTAACCAGAGAGCTTTCATAACACCTTGCACGCGTTTGGAGCCAGCTCCCCGGACACCTCATCTTGACTGGGAGGTAGTGAGCTATCGGGAGCGAAAGGGGTGGCAGCATGGTCCAGAACCTTACGTCCGGTAAGACTCTTGTACAAGTCTACGGTCTGCTGCGCGTAATCAAACATATCAAATGCCATAGCACCCTGTAATGCGCCCAGGGCAGCATTCTCGGTGCCTTCTTGCATCTGCATTGATCACGCAGCGGCTGCGGCCTAAAATCCTGCACACAGGTTCGGGAGGTTCTACATCTATAACCTGACACAAGTCATCCCAAAATGGTTGATGCTCTTCCTGGGGACCAGAAAGGGTAAGATCATCCACATAGGTGGAAGGAGAAGCATAGTCTCAGGAAACCAAGTTACCCGGATATTCCTGCAGTTCCTGTCCTCCCATGCTCTTAAGAACCTCCTTAAGGTGTTTCTCCCAGAGTCCGCCTGCTTCTGGACTTCTGGGTGTCCGTACAGCACGCGTCAAAGCAGCACCACTGGACGCGCAAAGCACTGTCGGCACCATGCAGGACAGAGCTCGGGTGGAAGCTCAATCCGTGGTTGGTACTTGGACTTGAGCAGAGCCTGCACACATGCGTTGATGGCGTCTGCGACGCTGGACTGATTGCCGGGCAAGCTACCGTAAGCTAGGCAGGCGTTAAGTCCATGAACAGAGGTGGGATTAGCTCCTAACTCTCTGTAGACCGCAGCAGCGCCCTCCTCGTCTTTTGCAGTCCCCTCGGACACTTTCCGGCCCTTGACCTTCTGGAGATCCTTGGCAAGCTCCCAAAACTTGATGGAGGTAATGCTCATGAACTTCCCAAAATGAACCTTGGTTCCTGTGCGGCGCGCTTGTGCTTGGACGTCCGTGTACTCTTTGGGGTTGCTCTCGTCCCAGACCGGAACAAAGCGAAAAGCCGCGGCTGCTTGCCTCACAGCCTCAAGAGAGGCTGTGGAGACGAAAGCATTTCAGCTCGCGAGAGGAGATTGGTTGTCATGGCAAAGACCACCTTTGTTGGGGCGCCTTTAGGTCCACTTTAGGTACGCCGTGGAACGCACACGTTAAAGCGTTAAGGTCAAAATCTTCTTCGACGAGTCTGGTAGCTTCTTCATCGGACTCTATGACTGTAGCGAGATCCTCGCACCCACTCAGAGCAGAGACGCGCTTAAGCTCTTGCTCTTTTTCTCGACGTTCTGGCAGGGGTGTTACGGGAATGACAGGCATGGCAGGTACTGAGATGAAGGCCCTACTGGGGTTGATCGCAAAGGCAATGCACTCGCACATCTCCTGCGCACACAAACCAGTAAGTTCGAGGTCCTTCCCTGGTGCTTCAACGTGCTCAATGGGCTCATGGTCTCTTTCTCTTCCCTAATGTCGCGCTCCATCGCGGCATTGTGAGGCCACCGGTTTGGTAGCAAAGGTTCAGGTGTTCAGCCTACCTCTTCCGCTGCAACCGTAAGCTCACCTGCCTCATCAAGCTGGATAAGACAAGTTAGGCCAACGCTGCCACGGCACCTCTTGTGAATGCCATTCCTGCCGAGCTCAGCCAGGATGGCAAGATCACCTGGCTTGTGGGCACTGCAGCAGGCCGTCACCTTATAGGTCGCCAACGTTGTCGTCTAAGGCCCTTTCCTGCGTTACTCGCTCAGAGACCCCGGTTGGTTTTGCTGCTGGCGGCGGCGCGCGCGAGGGTACACACAGCCTAGCTTTTGAGGGTAGTAGGCTTCTTCCCGCGGATGAGCAAGTTTATGTTAAGGAATGCCGCATTTTCTGTTGGCAAGGCCGTCCTGGACGAGGGCTCCATCCGGGATCAACGCCACAAGGGTTATTGAGTACGTGCCTCAGTTCGACGAGACACTGAGCCCAACGTGGCGGGACCCGAACCCAAGCTTGAGCCCTGTCGCCGCTTCTGCTTCTCCAGCACCGAAAGAGGTCTCCTGCAGTGACTTTGATCTTGAAGGGGTGCCTGAGATAGAGGTATAGACAATCCCCGCACCACGTCTGGAGGTTATGACTGCGAGGCGGATATCGTTGGAACGCACGCCAAGAAAGAAGCTGAGTCGAAGAAGCTAACCCTCAAGGCCTTCTCGATCCCTGCTGTCGAGTAGTCGCTCTGGTTTGCCAGCAAGATCGAGCGCTTCTCCTCCTTGGACAGGTTCACGCCCCTCAGCAGGAAGTACGCGAGGAGGTCGTCGGTCATCGACACGTCGGCCAGGTCCTTGAGTCCTTGAGGGCGTTCCACTTCTCGTTGCGCTCCCTGATGTACTGGTCTATGCTTTGCCCCCTGCGCCGAAAGCACTTGTCGAAGAAGGCATCAAAGGCCTCGGTCTTCTTCACCACGCCCACCTTCTCGATGCTCTGGAGGCTCTTGAGCACTGCCTTGTAGCCGTCCTCAGCCCGCAGCGCCTCAGGGTTGACGAGGAGGTCCTGACAGACTCGCCAGGCTTCACCGTGGAGGTTGTCGAGAAGCCTCTTTCCAAAGCGAGCCTTCTTTTTCTTCAAGCTTCTGGCCTCCTTCGCTTCATCATCCCCGCTGCCCTCCAAGTTCGAGAAGCAAAACAGCACTCGCCTGCGATACTCTCGCATCAGCTCTGGCCGAGCTCCGGTGTAGTGTGGAACCCCGTCGCGGTCACGCACGATTTCATCGTCCTTCCAGTACACCTTGTCGGCCGCCATGGCAGAGCGAGGTCGCGGAAAGGCTCCGCTACCAGTGCGGAGCACGCACTGGCAGGTCGGCCACTCTTTTCGCCACTAAACACGCACATGCATTGTTGTTTGTGAAACTGTCTTTGCATCGTTGCTGTGATGCTTCAAAGCAGACCATGGTACGGCCTAGGGCGGTGCTCGAAGAGCACAGCCCTTCGTTCTGACTTGGGCCGGCTTTCTTGAACGAGCGGGGCAGGAAGCTTCTCAGAAGACTCAACGGCAAGCTGCTAAACCCTGGCTGGCTTCACAGACTCATATGCTGTACATTGCAATGTGCATATGAGCGCATACATATATTATATAATTACAGAGGGAGCAAGAAAAACGGCATCCGTATGCCAGGAACTTAGCTTGCTTTCGATAAGAAGACCACAGAGCACACACACCAGCAATGCGGAAAGCTGGGGCAAGCTCGTGTGCGTACTTTGGAATGGCAAAAATGTCAACCGGATTCGCATCGTCCTTGTCCCCACACACACGCACAAAACACACGAGACAGGTCTCACACGCCAAATCACGGTAAATGCATCAACAGCCGTGCAAACTTGCTCCTCGTTCTCGTTTTGCTCGAGTCGCCAAACAGCGACTTGACTGCTGGCACCAGCTACGACGAAACCATTGATGAAGGGCCTGGCAAACAACCGGCAGAGTCTGCAAAGCCTCGTACAGATGACGATGACCTGTTCTCGAGAGCACGCCTGATGCCAAAGACTTGCTGATCGCTCACCGTGTGTCCAAAGGGGGCGGCAATTCGGCACACAAAGTATGGCACCTGTGCAAGCAAGGGGAGAGCGATTCCACGTGGTCTGACACTGACTGCATCCACCGGCACCGGGTCCATGTCCAGATGCTGAGCACGGTTCTCCGCGTCCTGGCACATTTTTGTGCAGTTGTTCGAGCGTGCTTTGTCAGCAGTCATCGCACGACCGCATCTTCTCAGAGCAAGTCCTCTATTCCCAAGCCACTTCCCACAATGAAGATGGCTCCCTGGTCTAGTTGGGCACGGCTGCACGCTCTGTTCACTCAAGTCCGCCTCCTCTGAAGCCAGCGCCAATCGCCCATTCCTAAGATGTTCACGTTTGTCTGTTGGCCCTCTTCGACACTTCGAAGGTCCAGAAGGCAATGCACCGGAAGGTCCAACGTCCCCAAATTCTCTAGCTGAGTCTAGCTGAGTCTAGCTCTGCAAATCCCCAAACTGGTCACTTCCGAGGAGCGCCGGCACCAACCAGGCATGATCCGTGAAAACAGCTGCGAACTCCTCAAGCTCCTTGAGATACCCAAAGCTCGGAAGCTCGGAGGGAGAGGGCAAGAGTCTGAACGTATCCATCTCAGCTTATGCAACGACCAATCGCGCTCAAACTTGAGGGCATTGGCAAAGCTGCAGTGCAGCTACAGCATATCCTCAAGTCGCGCACGCCGCACTCCACACTGTGAACGGCGGCTGCTCCCATGAAAAACCCGAAAAATTCTTCCCTTATAACACCACCACTCCAACCGTAAACATAAACGAAACACTCGCTATACCGGCTCATTGCAGTCTCGAGTTTGACAGGTTTCACGCTGATCAGACCGCATGCAAGGCTCCGCCTCCGTAACAGTCTCCCAGACCTTTGCTCGCTTGCCCACGCGAAGATGTCACTCCGCCGTGCGTAAGCGAACGAGGAGCAACACTCGGTCGTTCCCTGCTTGGCCACTGCCGAAACGGAGTCTTGAACTGGACAAGGCAGGGAGGCCGGCTCCTACTCTGGACTTTCGTGCTGAAGGTTGACAGTGTTCAGGGACGGGTGTATTGCAGCCATTTCTACCACAGCGGTGTCGCTGCTTATCACTATCAACTCTCATGGCTGCCAAGAAAACCGAGCAAATCTGTTGCACACATGGCCGCGCTGAGCGAGCAGCAAAGGTCGAGCATGCCCTAAGCACGGCCAAATCCAGGAATCAAGACCTGAAACCCCAATGAGGCGGAACGAGTACGAGTATGGGGGTGCATGGAGAAAGTATGCGGTTGGATCTCCTCGAGCTGTTGAAGCTTGAACATCTCCTTAGTGCCATCAACCACCCAATAAACACAATGGTAAACTCTGGTGCATGAGACTGACCTGACCGACGACAATTCGAAGACATCTACTGCTGCATACTGCTACCCACCTACCGCCCTGCAACAGGCGTAGCAAGCTGTGGCAAGCTTGGTTGCCGGGATCAGGTCTACAGTAGCAAATTGGGTTCATTACACGTGGAAATCAACGTTTCTCTCTGCACGGCACTGGTATGAATGCCGACCTCGAACCCTTTCTCACGTCCTTGCTTCACTCTATGTTTCGATGCTGCCCGGGCTCTTTGGATTCAAGCTGCTCCTTCTCGCCATCCTCTGCCAATGGAAGGTCCCTGGGTGCAAACTTGCCGAAAAACTGCCCCATGGAGACAGCTCGCCTGGCGGCCTGGCGGCCTGGCCTCATAAGGAAAATCTCGAAGGAGTTCAGGCTGGAGCCGGACAGCATGTCCGAATCCAGTGGGTTGAAATCGATCCTAAGCTGAAAGCCCAATGAGCCGCTGCGATCGATGAGCGTCAGCTTGGCTCCAGCTAGTCAAGCAGCCTCGACAGTTCCTCCTGCAGTACGAAACGGCTGATGATCTCGTTGAGCCTCCAGTCTAACACGATGATTTGGGCATGGTAGCCCATGGAAGCCACCGCCAGCCTGCAAACACCATCCAAAGGCGTCTGCATCAATACCATGCTGTTTCATTCGCTGGCTCCGCAAACCTCTGCTCTGGGGTCAAGGACGCTTCGAACAGGTCCGGCTTCACTAGCCGGCACGGAGCCGGAAGCCTTTATGAGGCCAAACGGCGGCGTGCAAGCTCTCTTCAAACAAAATCAGAGGGGCACCTTGAAACGAGAGGGCGGGGCGACGAATTCAACAGCAAGACTTCAGGGCGCAGGTGTGGATTCGGTGTCGTCTCACCACATCCATCGTCGGTGCACCCTTGGGGCAACACTCGGACAGGGTTGAGCAGGCCTGGGTGTCTAGAGTCTAGCAAGCATTGCCGTACCTGGCAATGAAAAAGCCTCCGAGAAACTGCTCAATGGCCCTGGCTCTCGGATTGCTCGACTGCGAGCTGAGGCTGAGAGAGGGGGAGACAGAGACAGAAGGCTGACGGGTCGAACAAAACCCAAGCCAAAGAAATGCACACCTGGGAAGCTTGACGCCACGAGCGAACCCAACGTCCCAACAACAATCTGAACCGACTTCCGATCCCTCTTGTGTCAAGATCTGGCATGGCCTGGAGGCTTCATCCTCGGGAACTCCGCTTGCCCTGCTGGCAGAAGAGAATGCCACGGCAGTAATCCGCCCTACCGGGCCATCCCGACCATTCAGCTCCTCAAACAGAAAGCTAAGCCAGCTAAGCAAGCTCCTAGGACTATGATGCCCATATCACCCGAAGCACAGCAGTTGCACTGAGGTCCTGCAAGGTCTGCACCGGCCGGTTGCTGGCCACCGGTCCCAGCTCATAAATCGAAACCTGAGACCGGCTTGGTCTGCAAACCTGGCAGACTGCCAGAAATGAACGGCTGCACGAGGCAGCACAGGCCGTGATCGCCTCAAGTGCAGCTGCGAATTTGGCTCTTCTCACTCAGCGTTCTTTCTCTGCCCAAGGCCCCGGCATCAACGTCACAGCTCTCCGCCGCAAAGCTGACCTGCCGGCAACTGCCAGGTTGCCGACACCTCACGAAGAGTCATCAGCCTCCTCGCCGAGGAGGTGCCGGAAAGCCAGCTGTCGCCCTACTGCTTGCGCCAGGTACTGCCCAGCGATGTCACCTTGAGCTGCCCACATGAGGAGCCAAGAGGATATGTGATAAAACCGTTAGTTGTGACTAGACACCGAAGAGGACCGCATCCCGGAGGTTCTTGCCCGAGCCAAAGCCGTAGAGAACCTCCAGCGAGATGCCGGCGGTAGCCCGTTCCACAGCCGTCGAGCTGAGATCTATGGACGGCCGGCGCGGCCCGTCCACACCCGGACGCTGCATGGTCCATCACGGAGCAAACCTACGCTCTATCATGCACCGTTCACCTTACGTTGTGCTACACCCGGGTCAGCCTCATTCAAAAAGCTGGCAACAAATGTCGGGATCTGGTCACAGAAGGCAAAAATGGCATTGACCTTGTTGTGAGGAATAGCTACTACTGTATACGACGGAAACCAGCGGCGGAAAGATGGCGAACGTGCGATTCGGCTTCTTCTGAGCGGCATTCTGTGATCTGCTGTAACATGGCTCCCACTCTGCATCCATCAGCTGAATCCAGGACACACGTGGCTGGACAAAAGATCTCCGTCGACGATGCCTGAACTGCAATTCAGAGACCTGACAGACTTGTTGGTGCAAGGACCAGATCCTCCTTCCGTCTGCAACCCCAAGAATTCACGGCCGTTTTGCAAGATCCGGATGCACACAAGACGGCACTCGGGTTCTCCCGTCTGATTTCACAGAGACAGGGGAACTTCAAGAGCCGCCGCATGGACCCGTCTTGTTAGAGGTCTTGGGGGTCCTTCCCATCGCTGGTGGCGGGAAGGGCCAAGAAGCTGGGGTCAGGTTGGAGAAGCTCAGGCAGCTCCAGTTCGGATCAGCTTCCCAAGCATCAAGCACTCCCCTCAACCTGGCAAAACCAGGCGAAAGGCAGGCAGACTCAGACATCTGTGAGTGAATTTGCCTCGCCCCGTGCCTTACAGATATTACAAGAGGAAGGAAGGAAAGAGAGAGGAAGGCGAAGCACCCCAGCGAGAGGCCTGGGCCTCGCAGCTCGGTCCAGGGAGTCTAACCTGAGTTCGTGTGTTGATCGTCGCGAGCGTCGTAATTGAAGAGCAGGGAGTCGTCCTTCTTCCAAGCTTCTGGGTTTGCGCGGGGGTGCCTGCCCTGCATTTCAATCTATTTCGCGCTGTAGCCTTACATGCACGCGTGACAGAGTGCTCGCGAAGTCCAGCTTTGAGGGCTGCACCGGCATAGCACCAACCGCCAGCAAGTCAGCTGCAGACGCTGCTGGCGGGCCCTCGCCCTTAGGCTTGTCAAAGCGCAGGATGATCGGTTGGTGGGGAGGGGTTGTGCTTGTATGTTGGATACAACATCATAAACCGATTCTGGATGAGACGATTCGAGCAGTCTTCTTCCCATTTGTGACCACATGCCCGGCTTGAAGCTGAACTGCCGACAAGCTCTTGATGCAGCCACGGTGCCCAGCGTGGGGGCAAACTGCCTGCCGGCCGCATCTGCCACTCTTCACCTGACAAAGTTCGAAGCTACGGTTCAGGCATCAGGTGCGCCATCTCACCACTCGCACTTACAAACCTCTTAGACTGCTCTTCAACGACTCCAACAAAGCCGAAAGCAAAGACTGAGGATTGAGGCTGTACACGTCCAAAGCGATGGTGGCCTGGCCACGTCGAAGTGTGGCTCGAGCCCTTCAAAAACGGTGTTGAAGGTGACTGGCTCTCTGCTGTCCTTGTATGCCATCGGATCTATTCTCTTCATGATGCCCTTCAACTGATTGAGCCTCAGCGGTCGAAGAACCGACGCGGCTTGACATTTCAACGCAAAGCAGGGGGAAGCGCGGACCACACTCGTAGAACTCGCCGAGGCCGTCCTGTGCGCTCCGATGCCAAGCTCCGGTGTTCCGTAGTGTCACAGACATGATCTGCTTCTTCAGGTGGAGCAGCCTTGAGCATGGCAACCACCGAGTCCATCCAGTTTGCGGGCTGCGTCAGCCTAGCGAACGGAGCACAACAAAGCAGAGGATCAGGGGGCGAAGGACTCGGACGAGCACCTTGAACCACTTCGAGGCTAGTCGTTAAGTTGCTGTGCAAGCAACTGATCCGCCAGGAGAGCGGCCCAATCGGGAGAGCTGCCAGCCGCAACCTCGCAGACTTTAAACCCAGACAGAGTGCAGAAGCGGAAGCTCCAGAAAACGCCTTCGTGCCGCAACTCAGGTACACGTCGATCCTGTGCCCAACGTGGGTCACACGAGCAGCCGACTCCTTTCATGTCCTTTCAGCTCACAGAGAGGGGCCTGGGGGGTTGCAGACTCCCTGCGAAGCTTTGCAGGAAGTCGAGCCTCGGTTTGCTTCGGAAGGAGGAAGGAGAGGCAAAGAGGTGTCAGGCCTCGTTCCGAGCACCCGGCATCTGCATCCTGGCCTCCGCCATCATCGACGTGTGGCACGCCCCGGCCTTGAAGGATTGTAAGTCACTGCATGAAGCCGTGCACAGAGCTGGGCTCCGACCAGCACTTGCTGGACCTTCGTTGCAGTTTGGCAACGATTTGCCGCCACTGCCACGCATGCCACGCCTGCTTGCAGCCCCTGGTGCTCCGTGCACGCTGGAGCAGACGCTCAACAGCTGCATCAGAGCCCGCGCAAAGAAAACCTGCGAAGCAAACGCGAAGAAATCGCAAGACATGCGACAACTGCCCAGAAATATCAAGAAATCGCCGGCCGTCGGCGAAGAGTCGCTGCGAAATTTCGCAGACCTCGCCAGGCCTGAGTAAGCTGCCCACCGCAATCCTCACACAGCGCCTTTCAAGTCTTGCCCAGATGCTTCCTGCAATCGACGCAGAGGCCTTCCACGGTCTCCTGACGGCCGCTCGCGGGCGCTGTGATAGAAACGAAATCTGGCCCGGAGTCCTGACTCAGGCCGGCCACCGCTAGAGCTGCTTGGGGACTCTCCAGCATCGCCGCCTCGGAGCTCCCCGCTCGGGCCGCTCGGGGAAGGGGAAGCGTTGAAGACGAAACGCGCCTCCATGAGCTCCCCTCGGAGCTGCACAGCTCGCAACCCGGTCTCGAAGTCCCAGACCCCGGCGAAGGTCAGCGCGGCCTCGGAGCGAGCAGAGCTATCGCCTTCGCTTCAAGCTTCGTGCTCGCGCCGCGCTCTGCGCTCCGATTCGCCGCCGAGGCGCGAAGTCTCCGAGCGAGAGCCCCGCGACGGCTTTGCAGCGCTCCAAGGCCGCGGGCCTCTTGTCCTCCGGACACGCGTCGCGGGCAGCATGGCTGGGAAAACTGGTGGTGCGCTTTGTTGGAGGTCGGTTTTGCAGGTCCCGAAGCTTCTCGACAGCCGCGAGCTGGGTGATGTACATCACTGGCTGGCCTCGGCTCTGACCGCTTTCGCAGCTGCGTGTCGCACAGTATGAGGCCGTGACAGTACTGAGTGTGCTCCAGCCAGCCTCGCACCAAGTTGTTCACCCCACCTCTTCCGACTGCCCAACGTCTCAACTTCACTCCCCAAAAACCGTACCTTCGGGGCCGCGGAGGAGCTCGTAGAAGCCCTGGAAGCCCGGGCCCTCGAGCGGGTCGAACTCGAGCACCGCCCGCGCCGCCTCGCGCAGGCGCCGCGCTCCCGGAAGCTCCTCTTCCAGAGGAGAGAAGAAAAGGCCAGAGAAAGAAGCGGGTTTTCTCGCGCTTTCTCGGCTCCCCTTGGCTCCTGCAAGCCCCTCAGCATCTTCAAGCTCTTGGAGTTCTGATCCGGGAACAGCAAGGCGATTGGGCAGCTGGCCTTCGCAACGCCAAGGCAAAGAAAAAGCAAACTTAGTCAGTCAAAGCTGTCCAAGGGGGTGGGGGCCCATCCTAACCCGGAAAACCCTTGTCTAAAGACTCTCAAATATCCGAAATTGTTCAAAGCCCCCTGCCTCCGCCTTGGTCTTGAAGTTGATTTTCACACCCATGTTAGCTGCAGCAATCTCTGCTGCAGCCTTTCCCAAAGCCACCTGGGGGAAGTGCTGTCGTTTTAGGGAGCGACAGGAACCTGTACGCTAAAGACTTTGTTGGGGGATACTAGCTTTGCCTCGGTATCTTGCGGAAGCCCTTCGAGCTCCCTGGATCGAGCTTTGCGCTGGGCTTTTGCTGCCACAAAAGCTGGGGCTTGCTGAATCGCTTCCATCGCAAACTCGGTGTAGGCCTCTCGCTCTCTGAGCTTCTGCCGGCGCTCCGGAAGGCTGAGCTTTGCCAACTCCCTCGCTTGTTGCTCGAGCTTCAGACGTCGGGCTTCCTTTTGCAACTGCCTCTGCTCCTCCTCTGCCTGCTTTTCAGCCAGAAATCTGAGATTAGCCTCTGTTTGTTCCTGAACTTCTTTGGCTGCCTCTTGCACCAACGAAACAAAGGTGAGGTCATTCCAGGGGTCCAAAGGAGCATCGTGGACGGTCTCGACCGACAGCGATGTCGCCACACCGCCTGCATTCGCGTCCACGGTACGTTCGGCGCTCTTGATTTTGGCAGGAGGATCAATGTCAGCATCGGCAGGATCACCAAAAGGATCCCAACCAGTCTCCATTGCAGCTGGCTAGGTGACGACTTTCTACAACTGTGTCGCCTGTTCTTCCCAAAGTCTAGTCTACTAACATCATGCGCTGCTCCAGTTGTATGGGTCTTTCATGGGTCCTTCACTCCTGTGCGGTCCATACGCTTCATACGCAAGCTAGGAAGTACTAACACTAGCAGGTGACAAGCAGGCGCACTAAGCCGGCAACTTCATGACACGTCTTAAGCCGATGATTCAGAGAAAAGCCCAGTCCACATTCATGCCGGCTACAGGCATGATTGCAAGGCCGGCAATTCACGGCAGGGATAGAACGTTCTGTGAATCAGAAGGCAATCGAATGCATGTTTTCATGACGCAGTCATGTGAAGTGGTCCCGGAACCACTTCTGCAGTATCCTCTTGTGCCCAAGCTTGGTTACACCAGCTGCCAGAAAGAATCGCCCATCCAAATAGCCATCACGAAAATAGACATCATGGATTTGCTTCAAAGAATCGAAGTTTGCGACAATCTGATCATAATACTGAAGCAAGAACCCATCGTCGTCCACGGACTCTAACCAATCCTGAATCGGCTGCAGCAAGAGTGGATTGGTCTCCTCCAAAACCACTTCTTCTGGCTGGCTTGGTGCGGCCTCTGAAGCTGCAGCGACATCGGCGCCATCAGTGACACGGTAGCCCACTTCCACAGCAGCTTCCTGCAGCTGCGGTCTTATGGGGCTCCCCGAAGCCGCCAGGCAGCTCGCGTAGGGCTCGCGGCTTCCTGGCGCCTCGGCCAAGAGCTCGCAAATCCATTGGGGCAAAGGTCGTGGCTGAAAGCTCGCAGGCTTGGGATCACAGGGCTTACCCCGGCCCGAAATCTTCCAGGATGTGCAGTGAATTCCATGCTCCAGGTAGTGCTGCTTAACATACTGGGAGAAGTTGGACCAATCCGCCACGCGCACCTGGTCCTGCTCCGAGCGCCGCCGCATCTGATCCGTTTGCCAGGCCAGGCGGCGCAGCTCCTCGGGTGCTTCGGGTGCCTCTGGCAACGAGGACCGGTAGGGAAATCGAGCCGGATAGCGATTGGGGAAGCTCGCTTCTTGTAACTCCGAGACCGCAAGGTAAAACGAATACGAAGCTTGGGCAGTCGGTGGCGTGGACAAATAGATGACGTCTCCATGCTGTAAGCCTCTCGGTCGGCCAACATCGAGAGTCTCACGCTTCCCGCTCATCCCACTTGATTGCACCTGCACTTGCCATCTGGGGGTCAAGGCTTCCAAGCTCCACGTCTGCCTCGTTCTGACGATCCGACACAATCGCTCAGGAAAACTTGCTTCGAGTTGCACGTGGGCGTCAGTACCAGAACCCACGTACATTACAGGAGGCGGCTCATTCCTCGTTTTCTCGCAATCTTCGCAGAAGTATACTTCGGGCAGCCGGGAGTCTCCACATGGTGGATGTATCCAACAACCCTCCAACGGCGGATAGCCTGGCCGGTCATACCAAGCATCGTCTTCCCAGGATGAACCGCCAGCATCGCAGGGCAACAGCTTCATATTATGGCCTCGGCAGCTGCATTGACAGCACTGCAGGGCCTGCAGGGCTAGGAAAAGCTTCAGCTAGGAAGGCGGTAGCGTAGCAAGCTGAGGTTTCTCAAGATGGCCTGCCGATCTTTGGAGACCCAACTCACACTCAAGCCAATGACTAACTATACAGGCAGAGCAGCTCGAGCAGATCGATAACGCAAGACTGCTGATGGAGCGGATGGACACCAAGCAACTGAAACAGGCGGAAGCTCGTTGTCACACTGCGCTGCATCATGGGAGTGTGTTTGTGTCTGTGTGTCTGTGTGTGTGTGTGTTTCTGTGTGTGTGTGTGTGTCTGTGTGTGTCTGTCTGTGCGTGTGTCTGTGTGTGTGTGTGTCTCTGTGTGCGTGTGCGTGTGTGTGTGTGTGTGTGTGTGG